GGTATTCATATCTTGGGGTTAATTCCACTCAAGTATCAATGAATACATATATATATATATATATCATAAAAATAAAAATATTAGTATTAAAGATAAGTTATCTTATCTGTAGTTGTAGAATAGCGTTCATGCTGATAACTTGTTATGAAATCAGAAGAAATATTAACGACTCGGATATTAGATCGTTAACTATAAATCGAAAACTATATTTAGGAAAATGGAGAACAAGTTTATTTTTTATTACTCTCTCTTGAAAGTGTACAAATGGAAGAACCAAATGACCTATTTATAGAAATCTCGAAGTTACTATTCACGTATGCGGTCGATGTGAACAATACCATATATATGAATAGTAAGTCAGTATGAACAATATTAAATATATTTTATTTATAATAATAATTTTTTTATGAATTGTGTAACTAAAAATTCAATCATATTGTAAATGATCTTAGCTCGATTCTTTTTCCCAAAATTTTGGGATTTCAATATATTGAATTTAAAAAAAAATCAAAACTAAACGGTTAAACAATTTAAATAAGTTGTGTTATAATAAAATGGTTCAATTGGATTATAATGATAAAAATATTTAACCAAATAATAATCCAGATGTATAAGAAACAATCCACCATTTGTGATACTCAAGTTTTTTTTTTTTTTTTTTTTTTTTTATATAATTTGATTAATGGTCGAATCTTTTGGTTAAATAATTCAAGGGTGCAACTTTTTATTCACAAAAACAAACGTAAAAGCCAAGAGTGTCCCAATGGAATATACGGTCGGCCCACTCATTTACTATAAAGTCTATAATGTCTTATCATTATAATTTATAACCACAAGTTGCATATAAAGCGATAGCAATTACAAAAGATAATGGTGGGTTTAACTTTAACCTATCACTTGAAATCTAAGCAAAAATATATAATGTAACAGAGGATGTCCCAATTATTTTAAATTATTTTGGTTTGGTAATAAGCAAAATGGATTAGAATTGACACGTCAGCATTGTCACAAATATCTATTCGTAGGGACAAAATATCTTTGTGGCTGGCTCCAATATAATTTGTTGTTTTAAATTTGATTAACCTACAAATTGTTTACATGTTTGTGTTATATCAGAACATGTGATTGTTCTTGATTGGTGTTTGACATTTTTTAGTTTTTTTATATGTCAACTTTGGTTGTATCTCAATCAAAATGTAAACTTTTTTATATATATATATATATATATATATATATATATATATCAATTAAACTAAAGTTCAATCTTAATTTTTACCTACTGTTAAAGAAAATGTTTAACAAATTGAAAATATTTTGTAATGTTGAAAATGGTAGATATTAAAAAAATTTCAAAATTACTTTTTTATTTTTTTATAGATTATTGAATAAATAAAATATATAACATAATTTTTAATTGAACTTTAGGGCGCGTGAAAGCTACTATCTTCCAGCGCGTGGGTTTATTCGAATATGCTATCTCCCTGATTTTTTTTTTCCGTAGTCATGGATCGTGGCTGGTTTTTTTTTTTTTACGGTCACCTTTTTTTTCTCTCTTTTAAATCCGTGAATAAAATAATCAAAGTCTAAGTCACGGAAAAACGAAAATATAATCACGCACATATACATATTACGTATCTAAATTTTAGATTCTAAATGTTTACCATTGTGTGTTAAATTTCTCAATTAATCAATCGAAGTTGATCGAGTGATTTCTAATTGAGAAGAATAGAGAGTGTCTTTGTAATGAAGTTTTCAAGTCGTCGTTAGAAAAAAATATATATATATAATTTAATTGTGGTATAGAGATTGTTTTTAAACTTTGAAAGATGTAGTTCGAACTCTCTTTTAAATCCGTGAATAAAATAATCAAAGTCTAAGTCACGGAAAAACGAAAATATAATCACGCACATATACATATTACGTATCTAAATTTTAGATTCTAAATGTTTACCATTGTGTGTTAAATTTCTCAATTAATCAATCGAAGTTGATCGAGTGATTTCTAATTGAGAAGAATAGAGAGTGTCTTTGTAATGAAGTTTTCAAGTCGTCGTTAGAAAAAAATATATATATATAATTTAATTGTGGTATAGAGATTGTTTTTAAACTTTGAAAGATGTAGTTCGAACTAAAAAATCGATAAATTTTTATATTAACAAAAAAAATATCAGATTCAATCATGCGCATATATATATATATATATGTATGTATAATATAGATAATATATTGGCGATGGTGTAAAAAATAAAATGTGTGAAAAAAATCTATGAATGTGTATACGTACACACCAATTTCATATAAATATAGTTCGAATCCCATTCTTAGCAAATCACATATTATCAAAAAAAAAATTCATATAAATAAGATTTTCATTGATTATTTGATAATTAAAATAAATTAACTATCATTTGGTTCTGTATTAAAATTTTTGAAATAGCAACCCGAAAAAATATTCGAATTATAGAACGTTTTTTTAATGTGTGAACTCAATATATGAGATCTTTAATTTAGTTTTATTATTGTGCGACTTCCATTCATATTACCACCTCGCGCGTATTAAATACGTAGATAAAAAAGTCAACATTAGTTATAAAACATACAAAAAAATATAAAAAACAACTTTTTATATCCTTTTTCTTTTTTATGATTTTCAAATTTAAACTTTAAATTATTTTTTTTTTCACATCCCCACCGTCGAGGAAGTTCGAAAAATGTTATATGAGACTGGTTGCCTCGTCTGGTCGGCTATAGGCGCGGCGCCCCGACTTTGTGTTCAAATATTATCATCGTATTATTATTATTTCTTTTTTTTTTTATAAAGGGTTGTATATTATTATTTCTCCAAATCTTATCCTATAAATGCCTTTTTCGCGTATTTGCTCACGCAAAAAATGTGGACGGCAGAAACAAATTTTTAAATCTCAATATAATTTTCTTTTGCAATCTCTGACTAATAAAATATAATTCTTAAAATCTTCCCGAAAATGATTTTTGTAATAGTTAATGTGCGACAAATAATATTTAATATGTAATACCATTATCTTTTGATTTCGTGAGATTCTATTATATGATTTGGATAATTATTTTAAAAAATGACGGTTTATTACAGCAATCATAGGCGAGAAATCTTAAAAAGAAATAAACATTAAAAAAGAAAAAAAAAATACATGAACCTGGTTGAGGCACGTGTTCAATTGGAGAGACAGCCAGTCGGATCAGATCTGGTCTCGGACTCTCAATAAGACATAATCACTTGCGCCGTTCGATTGGGACATCCCCAAGTGGTGGATCACATGGCATGGCATTTGCCACGTGGAAAATATAATTGTTCCATTTTTGCATGGCACATTATTTCCGTCGTGATGTTATGTTTCATCTTGGCACCTCATCGTAGGAATAAGACATAAATGTTATTATGATACGTTTTTTTTTGTATTATACATTATTTTTTTTCCTTTTGGTTTGTACTATTTGTTTTTATTTTTTCTATTGATATAATTATGCTATGTTATAAATTTTCATGCATAATTTCTTTATTTATTCATTTGACCCATTTAACTACCTCGATTTATATAAATTTTAACCATGTTGAATTCTGTTTTTTTTTTTGAAATTGAATAAATATTTGATAAATTCATAGAACTAACTACTTTTTTTGTTCGTCTTAATACGTGGCCAAAAGTATTTTCCGAACTAAAAAATCCATGAGATTCTATTATTCCGTGTATGAGAAGGGAAAATGCTTTCATAATTTTATATGTATAGACTAAAATTTTCCATATTTTGAGGTTAAAAATATATAGTGTGTATATATATATATCATTAAATTAATTTCAGTCGATTTTTTAAAAATATTTTTCACAAAAAAAAGAGAAACAATAATGCCGTGGGGTAGGAGACGTAAAATGATTAGTCATAAAATATTACACGACCATGTGGATTTATTTAAAATAGCGGCGTCTGTTGGATTACCCGAAGGGTCGGAATTTTTATGACCGTTGGATCTAGACGAATCGACGCATATGATTTAAGACACGTGTCGATATTTAATTGGTTGATTTGTAGTGCAAATCTGTCAGATGAAGTGGGTGAGCTGGACTTTGGCAGGTGAGCGCTCTTTGATCCCGGAGGAAGACATTTGTCACTCAAGAAAAAAATAAAGCAGCCCATTACATAAATATACATATATAAATATAATTTGTTTCTTATTAGATTATAAAACTTCATAAATTAATTTTTCGGATAGATTCTCTATTTGTTTTTTTTGTTAAGAGATTATCTATTTGTTTATATATTTAATCTTTAAAAAACACAAATCTAAGAAATAATTTTCTCATATTTTGGTATGATATTGAAATAAAATAATTTACACGAAAATCTATAAACAATAGAAATTGAAGCTGTTTTTTGTTTGGAAAATTCCCGATTCAGAATTAGACAGTGCTGTAATTTCAATAAAAAAAAAAACAATGGAAAACAATAAGATTATATTGTCTTTTATCAAAATCCATACAAAAGTCTCTGTCGATAATTTTTTTTTTATTTGTCATGAACGTTGTTGGTCTGCGCAAGAAACTCATGAAATTATAAATTATCACAGTTGCTTGGAAAAATTTGTGTGGAGTGTTAGAAACCAAAGCCCACACGCTTTAGAGAGAGTCTATGCCACGCGCTCAATGATCTCGAAACCATCCAAGTAATCGGGCCATCTATGCTAACTGTATATTTTAAAGTTTAAGCTGGATAATTATATAGTTTATGTATTTTAATGTAAAATTAAAATACTTTAAAATAACGATTTCTAGCCCTATTTTTTGCAACAGATATCCAAATTAATTTTTAGTAACCAATTTTAGGTACAAATGTCTTGAATTGGATAATTTTGTTATTATTTATTTCTATTTATTGCGCATATTTGTTTATACGCGAATGATGGTCTTATCTATAACTTTGGTACCCGCTGTTGGTCGTCGCAAAAAAAAGGAAACAAACCCATAAGCGTTGCCCATATCAGTACTGTCTACATACATACATATATATATACATGTGCATGCATGTATGTATATGCGTATGCGTATCCATGTGTACGTAGACATGTATAAAGGCCTGTAAAGTGTCTGTTCTGGAAGAAAAGACAAAGCCCGGAGGAAGAATGATTGCGTGAGAAGAGCTTTAAAATCCCAATAACCAAAAAAATTGGAGGAAGCCTAAAACTTCGAACAAGAACAAGTTTTTTTTTTTTTTTGTTTCTGTGGAATTTGATTCGTAGATCTTGTGGAGAAGATGGATGAAGAAAGGAATCTGTTTGGGAATGAAGAAGGGGAAGAAGCAGAACCAGACCCAGAGAACAACACTCTGAACCAGCCTCTCCTAAAGAGGAACAGAACACTTTCTTCAACTCCACTTGCTTTGGTCGGCGCAAAGGTTTCCCACATAGAGAGCTTGGACTATGAGTATGTCCCTCCATCTCACTTGAGATCTTTTTGTCTTTTTATACATATATCAACCATGGTATTTCAAGATTCTTCTGCTCCCCGGTTTGTGGACTCAAGGGTTTCTTCAGTTTCCCCCCAAGTTTTGATTTTTTTTTCCGGATCTTTATGGGTACGTAATTGAACCGGGATCTGGAGCCCATGTTCTTCTTATTCTTCATCATCTTGGGGTTATCAATTTTTTTGATAATTCAACTCAATTGGTATATTTTGTGATTTGAGAAACGAATCGGGCATTTGAAGATGATCCAGAGGATCAGAGATGGAGAATCGAACAGGGTTTTGGGAAATTCAGATTATTATTTATTTTTATTAATTATTATGGATGGTGGGCATGTGGTGATGATAAAATAGAAATGGGTGATGGATATAATAAAAAAAAAAGAAAAGAAAAGGGAAGGTAACGAGGGTTGATGACGGTGATGGATGCAGGATAAACGAGAACGATCTGTTCAAGCACGACTGGAGAAGCAGATCGAAGACACAGGTGCTTCAGTACGTATTCTCGAAATGGACATTGGCCTGTCTGGTCGGCCTCTTGACTGGTCTCATCGCCACTCTCATCAATCTCGCCGTCGAAAACATCGCCGGTTACAAGCTCCTCGCCGTCGGCCATTACCTCTCCCAGCAACGGTCCCTCCCTCCCTCTCTCTTTTATAATATATGGTCAAAATATCATATTTTTTTTAACTGTTCCTTCCAAATAGATCTCACCCTTTTCTTGTAATTAATGGCACGACAGATACATGACAGGGCTGATGATCTTCACGGGGGCGAACTTGGGATTGACGTTAGTGGCTGGAGTGCTCTGTGTATGCTTTGCTCCTACAGCTGCAGGGCCTGGCATTCAT